CTTATTCTGCTGAGCCATCTCCGTGGCCCCCAAAACATTTTATTCTTAATCAAAAATTATAATATACTTAAGCTGAAAGTTGAGAAGAAAAATATATAGATATGAGAATATAACTGGCCAGAGGAGATAAAGAAGCCAAAGACTAAAGCTGAAAAATAAGTTTTTAAAAAGCAATAGATAAATGCAAGTAGAAAAGGTAGAGGTCCAGTGCCAGTCAAGCAGAAAACCCAATAGTATTATGGGCTACTGGACTCTTTTAGAATATTTTGCTGAGTTTACACACCTATAATATTCAAATAACGGAACTTAACAACAAAAAGGGGATGCAGGTGAATGTCCATTTTGTATCTGTGTATTCAAATGGCTAGGATCGATATACAATTACATTCTCTTAATGAATAGAGGGATTTGTTCTAATGGTGTTTGTAAATAGGACATCATGTCTGCATCTTGTACAGCAATTAACCACCAGGAAGAATGTATACAATGTGTTAATTATTGAAACTGTCCTACCAGTTTGGTTTGAAACTGTCTCATTGCTATTTGTTTCTCAATAAATTTATGGAAAAAAAAATAAAAAAAATAAAATGTCATTATTCACAGTGAACTATTGTGACTGATCTGTAAATTCTTCATTTTTATTTTGGACAATTTTTATTGTTATATTCATTTATGTTTGTAAATAATTTATTTTCAATTTGCAATCTATTAAAAATTAAAATAAAAAAATAAAATGTCATTATTATTTTGACAGGGTGTACAGGGTCTCACTGCGTAGATCAGATTCATAGTGATCCTCCTGTTGATAGCCTCCCAAGTGTTGGGATTACAGGCCCGGGCCACACAGTTGCCCTGGGGGCGGGGCCGGCACGGCAGGCCGGAGGTAGAACTCCTGGCCCCTGCACCTGTTTGCAGGCACTTAAATCCACTGAGCTATTGGGCCAGCCTTAAATGTCACTCTTATCACAGTGGTAACAGTACAGCTGGCCCTGCGACCTTGTCCACTGTCCCGGGGCTGCCACTGGCCCCTCCTGGGTGAAGGCTGGCATGCTGCTTTGTCTGCAGTAAGCACACGTGGCTGGTGTCCAAGGGGGCAGGTGAGACTGGGCTGCACCTTCACTACACCCCACCATCTCCAGATGCTGCCATAACTCTGCCACCTATGCCATTGTGAGGAGGGGCAATTTGGGCTCAGGCGGCCCAGGGCCACATCCACCGTGGCCACTAAGGCAGGACATCTTGCCTGTCCTTCTGCAGGAGGGGTTCCAGGCAGCCTCTATGTTGTGGGGCCCCACTGAGAGTGAGGTGAGCAAGCAGGACCCTGGCAGCGCTCCTGGAAGGAGTCAACCCCCTCTGCCTCTTGCGCCCCGTGGTGCAGAGCAGCAGGGAGAAAGAAGTGCTGGGGACTCCAGTGACCTCTGCTGTATGGTAGGGGACATGGGCATTCTCCAGGACAGGCCTGTGGTATAGACACTGACCCATCAGGAGCCAGAGCCCAGGAGGCCCTGCAGGGTTCCCTGGGTCCAGGCCAGAGTGGTGAGGGCAGGGGTGAAGGTGAGGAGGAAAGTTCGCCCCAAGGGAACCAAACTCACAGAGGCCCATCCCACAGGTGGCAGAGATGGGAGCATTGGTGGACGGGCAGGCAGAGGGCAGGGTGGGGTGGCTGCCAGTGGGGCACCTTCCACAGAGCCCCACTACTCTGCCTGTGTCCCTGTCCCTGCCCAGTGGCCCTGCCTCCCAAGACCCACCCTCCCTCCTTGGCTTCCTAGCGCCACCCCACCCTTTGGCCCCATGGTCCTGCCAGGGTACTGCAGCACAGCAGAGAAGGGTGCAGGGCCTGACAGTGAGGAGCCCTGGGCAGGCCTGGGTGCACAGCTGCACCCACACGAACGGCCCTCTGCCACTTCGGCTGTGTCCGCACCCCCTCCGCACAGGCCAAGCGGTGTGTGGCTCCCTTGGGCTCCAGGAGGTGGCAGAAGAGGCCAGGGCAGGACAAGTGTGCTCCCTGGCCCAGACTCCCCGGTGCAGAAGCACTTGCTCCACAAGGACCAAGCACAAGGCCAGTACTCAGAACCACACTCTGCAGGACAGGGATGCAGGTGCCCGCTGTGGGTGGGCTTGTCCCTGACACAGACTTGCGTGGGAGCCCCAGGCTCAGTGAGGAAGGATGGTAGGAGCATCAGGTGATGGTGGTGCAGGCCCTGAGCGGCCACACATTCACATGGCAGCTTGTCACAAGGATGGTACCAGGGTGGCCACCCACCCACCTGGCCCCACCTGGCCCCACCTGGCCCCAAGGTGCCAGGCCCTCCTGCACACAGTCAGAGACTGGTAAAGGAGGAAGTCACCGTCCGTGGGGAGCTGCATCCCCACAAAGCTGGTGTGACCGGTGGCATAGCCTGGGATGACCAGAGCATGGGGAAAGTGGAGTGGCCGTGGGGGCTGGGCAGACACAGGGCACTGAGCCTGGGCCCGAGACAGCAGATCCCTGCGGGGTACAGTCCAGGTCCCCAGTGCAGCCTGACCTGAGTGCGGGCTGCTGCCCTCAGCCTGGGCCAGTGGAGTGGCCAGGGGCCAAGTGAGGGCTGGCACTTTGAGGCCCAGAAGCAAAAGAGCATCTGTCACCTGTGGGCGGTTCACTGCATGAGGGTGGGGTCATGCCTCAGTTGTCCCTCTGCTCCCGCTTGGCCCAGGGCACTGAGAGCCGGCTGAGGAGCCTCAGCTGCTTCTGTGGTTCAGGGGAAGCAGGGGAGGAACTGATCAGCCATCCCTTCACCGCCAGCTCCTGGCCTGGGGACTGGAAGCACCAGGCCACGCCCAACCCAGGAGCTTGCCTGTGTGCCTACCTGCAAGACAAATCGCCCCAAGCAAGACCCACAAGTCTGAAATGTTCCTGTTGCCCTGGCAACCTTCTGGCTCTCAGTGTCAGCCCCATCACAAACCATGGTGGGAACTTTTCACTTCACTGGGCAGCTGCACCACCAAGGCAAGGCCTGCGCTCACCCTGGGGAGAAGGGGGGCTGCAGGGGGGCCACTGGCAGGCTGCAGTGGACCACAGGTGACAGCAGGGCAGGTGGGGCTTCGGCAGAAAGGGTCACAGCCCCTCAGCAGGCTGTTGCACTGTCTTGCCACCCTTGGTCACCAGCCTCTGTGCTGTCCCCACCCTGCAGAACAGAGGGGAGAGTGGTGACTAGGGCTGGGGACACTGAGGCCCCCTCTCAAAGGTAGCAGGATGAGCAGCAGGAAGTCCCTTCCAGACACATGGCAGGTGATTCTGTGGAGGTGGGGGGGGACCCTAGGGTGGGCAGAGGGTGGCTGGAGCAGCCGCCAGGGAATGGAGCGGAGATGGGGAGGGAGGGAGGGACAAAGATGGCAGCAGGGAGGAGAGGGGCAGGGCACCCCGGGGTCCAGCATGCAGTCACCAGCCAGCTCAGGGTGCCCCAACAGCAACAGGAAGTTTCCACTCTGGCTTCTTCAGCTGAGAAAGTGGAGGTCCCAAGAGGTGGAACGAGGTCTCCTGAAGCACGCGCTGATCCAGAACTTACCGTGGGCTGGTATGCCGCACATTTCCCCATTTGACTCTCACCAGCATCCTAGGAGGCGGATTCCATTGTTCTGTTCCCTGACAGAAAAACAGATACGAGCAGGAGGCTCCGCAGGTTACTGCTCTGGGCCTGACCTGCAGGGAACGGGGAGGTCAGCCCTCAGTCACGGCCCTGACCGACTGTCCCACAAGCTGGGGACCAGTATGATGGGGGTCAGGGCGAAGGACAGGGCGAGTCCCCACACTTCCAATGGCAGACAGACCTGGGGCCCTTGGCTATCCCCAGCACTGCTCCTGCCAGCTCCCCCCGCCCCTGGCTGGAACTCCAGGGCTAGGAGGACACACGAAGGCATCGTGCACAGTGACAGCACTCTGGGCTCAGGACAGAGGTCTCCATAGTAAAAGCTCGTCCAATAGCGAGCAGCCCCGCCATGGGCCAGGCTGCTCCTGGCCCGGGTCTATGTGAAAGCCCCTGGAGGCAGCCTCTGGGAGGGATATGGGCAAGGAGACTCTCGGGGCAACGAGCAGCATAGTGGCTGTCAGTATGGCACCACAGGAAGAACCTGTGATCCGGCCAGTGTGCTCGGCAGGGAATGGGGCTGTAGGGTGCAGCACCCCTGCCCCCGCAACCTTCAGGGGTCTCCAGGGTGCAGTGACCCTTTTTTTTTTTTTTTTTTTTTTGGTGGAACCGGGGATTGAACTCAGACCCTTGAAGCGCTTATTCCACTGAGCCATATCCCCAGCTCCATAGCAACCCTCTCTTGCCTGGGCTTTCTACCAGAACCCCTCTGCAATGCTCAGTGCAGCTAGTGCTGCTGTCCTCAGGCCTGGCTGTCGCAGGCTATTCCTGCCCCTGGCTGTGGTTGTGAGGGAGAGCCATGCATGTACCCTGGGTCCAGCGTAGGGGCAAAAGCTTGGCTCCCACTCTGCCCTCACCGAGGCTAGTAAGCCCCAGTGGTGTTCTGCCAACCCATGCCTGGCCACTGGCCTTGGGTCAGAGTTCCCAGGGAGACTCCAGGTGTCAGGTGTCACTGGCCAGCACACAGAGCAGAGCCACGCTTTCCATTCTGCGCTTGGCCCTAGCTGTCTGAAGCCAGCGTACATCACGGGGATGAGGGCTGGGCTGCTGCCTGCATGGCCCCTTCCTATCCTCAGGGTCCCAAGTCCTGGAAAGTCTCTGGCAGAAGTGACAGGATCAGACCTGTGGTTGCTGGAAAGAAATCAGTGGCAGAGGGAGGACTCTGGGAGGAAGGGGAGTAGAAGGAAAGACAAGAACTACAAGGACACAGCACAAAGCTGAGCCACTCCCTCTCCTGCACCCAGGAAACCCTCACAGCTGCTAGAGGAGAGCCCCATTTCTACAGGAAATCTAGGTACATGCCAGCAACTCTCCCAAAGAATGCAGCCGTGAAAGGCAGGCTCATGCGAATGCCTGCCGGACACAGTGGCATGCAGGGAAGGCCTGCAGGACAGGGGGGCATGCTGGGAGGGCTGAGGGGAGGTGCTGTCGCTTCTGGTGGCCTCACTGACCTGCCAAGCATCCTGAATAGCTTGCTGGGCACAAATACCAGTCCCACCCCCCCTGCGCAGGAGCGGTAGGAGCCTAACCACAGTCACACCTTGCCTGTCCTACCCCCCTGGCCCTGCTCTTGTTCCTCCCTGCCTGCACCCCAAAGACTCAGAATGCTCCAGTCATCAGTCCCTCACAAATGCCAAGTGTCACTTGTGTAGCTGCCCTAGGACTTAGGAGCCAGGACTCAGACACCATACTAGAGACAGAGACTCCTGCGTCTGGCAGTCAGGGGCAGCCCAGCCAGCCCCGGGCAGGGGCGCTCCTGCCAAAGGGCAGTGTGGGAGCTGGGACTCCCTGCTGTCCAACTGCTGGTGAGGTGGGCTACAGGCAGGACCTCGGCTCCCTGCGGAGCTATCTCTACGGGGCCCTACACTCTTCAGCACTCAAGTGGAAGAGCCCAGGGACCGGCAGGGAGGGACTCTAGACCTCTGCGTCGGCTTGTGCAGGTGCCTACCGTGGCCAAGTCTGTGGGAGGACAGCCTGGGGTTCTCTCCACGTGGCCTGGTACCACCCTGGGATGCTTTCCCTTGGGCTGAAGATGCTGCTTCCTGGGAAACTCAGTCAGCACCTAGTCATCTGCTCTGCCTGATCAGGGCCTCACACATGGCAGGGCTTCCAGAGTGGATGCTTGGTGGGCAGTGTGGAAGTCCACGTGTCAGCGCTGACATGGCAGGGAGACATGGAGGAACACCTGGGTCTTCATCGGGGAACGCAAAGGGCAGCTGAGACCCCAATTTGGGTGGCAGGTCCAGGCTCCTTGGCACTGCTCTCCTCAGGGAGAGACCCAGGGTGGCCTGGCCCCAGCTGAATCAGAGAGGCCCAAGCAGGGAAGTGGCCTGGGAAGGCATCAGAACAAAGGTGCAGCAGGAGGCTGGTGACAAAGCCCTGCCTTGTAGACCAGGTTCCAAACAGGCCCGGCTGGAGGAGAGTCCAATCACCATGGCAACAGGAAGTTGTTCAGCTGAGCCAGAAAGGCCACCTGCCAGCCCTGCTGCCCACAAAGACCCACCCCACACCCACCAGGACTGAGGGGCAGGTGCAGCATGGGTGCTGTGCAACCCACATTGATCACGCACGGGACAGCCCTGACTCTCATGGAGGGAGGCCTGGCTCCAGACTCCAGCTCCCTAATCTAGCAGCGGCACTGTTGGGGTGGAGATGGACCAATCCCACGTCCTTCCCAGTATGACCCAGCAATGGCTCTTCCCCGGTGTGGCAGTTAACACTCCCTGTCCCACTCCTCTAGACAGGCCCCATTCTACCTGCACACAGCAGGAAGTGATCCAGACCAGACCTGGGGACCACTGAGGCTCAGCTCTTTAGCTACTGAGAGGGTAAAGTGACAAGGAGAAGAGCAGAAGCAGAGCTGTCTTGGGTCCCAGTCTGTGCAGGACTCTGAGAGGTGGCTGCCCTGCCCTGGTGGCAGGGAAGCAAGGGCTGCTACTCAGGACGTCCAGGGGCCTTGTCCCACTCTGCGAAGGCTATGGGCCCACAAGACCCAGGCTGACATCCAGGACTCACGCTCCACACCTTGTGAGCCAAATAAAAGGACCCCGTGCCCTGCCTCCCTGGAGTCCCACCCAGCCCCACCTGAGACTTGTCTTGCTGCCCAGCAGGGGTGTGACAGCATCTGCATGAGCCACAGGACAGCCGGGGACACAAAGGCACGAAGGTTCCTGCATCTGCACAAGGCCTGTCCCTGCTCTTTGTCCTGTCCCATTTGCCACCTGGGTTTCAGACCTGTCCCCATCTAACCCAAAGGGGCACAAAGGTCAAGGTGAGACAGGATGGAGCGCACTTGCCTCTGGGAAGATGCACTACACCTCCGTGAGCTCCAGCCCAGGGGAGATGAGCTGGAGAAAGAGGAAGGACTTCAAGGTCAGGCCTCCAGCCAGTGGAGACAGAGGCTGGCTGTCCTCAGGGAAGGGAGGGTGGAGACCCACATGGAAGAGACGGGAGGCAGGGTGATGTTACCTGTGTCCCCAAACCTAGCTTCAAATAGCAAATAGCCAGACTGGGCATGGTAGCACACACCTATAATCCCAGCACTTGGAGGCCGAAGGAGGAGGATCCCCATGAGCTCAAGGCCAGCCTGGGCTACATAGTGAGATTGAGCCTAGCCTGAACTAGAGGAAACCCTATCTCGAAAACAAAAAGCAAAATACTCCCAGCAAATAGCCAGTATCTCCCAGGTCCTACAGATTGGGTTCTGGTTCCAATTTAGTTTGTGACCCTACTCAGGGATTCCTACGAGGTTCCAATCAGGGCCGGAACCCCCACCCCATGAGCTGGGCAAGGACCCACCTGTGGCAGCTGGACCCAGAGAGAAGGGGAAGGAGGGGGCAGGACGAGCACACCCAGGGCTGCCTGGATGCTGTCCTCCAGCCCTGTCCTGCAGGTGGGAGAGCCGCAGTGGCCCTTAGGGTTTAGATCTAGGTGCCCCAAGGCCCGCTAGGAGGTGGGGCCTGGTGGGAGGCAGCCCTGGACTGGGCATGGCTAGAAGGGTCTTTCCCTTCTCTACAACCCTCCCTTCTACTGGGACCCTTCTGCTGGGTCCTGCTTTGGAGCTGTCCTTTATGCTGTGGGCACTGGCACTGTGTCCCAGCACCCA